AGCAACATTTATTGTAGCTTGAGCGGTGGCTAGGAAAGGTCTCCCTAATATAATTGGAATGTCGCGATCTTCGCTCATTTCCATAATAATGAAATCTGTAAGGAAAATAAATTTGTTCACTTGCACGAGTACATCACGAATGATTCCTTTAGGTAATCTTATTGATTTATCGGCAAGCTAAATTACAGTTTTGCATGCTTCTAACTCATAAAGCCCTAATTTAGAGAAAAGCGAAAAGGGCATAAGATTGATACTTGCACCTAAATCACATAATGCCCTAATCGGCTCTAAATTTCCTATTGTACAAATAATAATAAAACTCCCAGGATCACTGAGTTTCTTTGGGAGGTCCTCCTTAAATACGGCGCTGCATACAATCTCCAGCTGCACCACTGCCGCTTCATCAGGGAATGCCCGCTTGTGATTGATTATATCTTTGATAAACTTAGCGTAATGTGGCATCTATGACAAAGCATCAGCAAACGGTATAGTAATTTGAAGACTACGGAAAGTATGTACAAACTTATCAAATTCCTTGGAGTTGTCCTTCTTCCCAAGTCATGTAGGAAAGGGGGCTCGAGCTAAAGGCTGAGCGGGACACTTTTCCTTCGGTTCAGACTCCAGAGCGACTGGTATCGCTCGTGGTTGGGATGGACCTTCCTCCTCAGACGGAATCTGTCTTAACTCATCCTGCACAGGCATGTTAGCAACAATAGGGGAAGGAGATTGATTAATACCTCTGTCTGGCAGCGGTGGTGATTGAGTCCGCTTCCCTCCCTAGTTTTGATGGCCTTCGCTTGGTTCGGGACAGTCTCAACTGTCCCAGGCAACATTCCTTTCTGCTTCAGCTTCAGGGCTTCAGCAATCTGCCCGACTTGTACTTCCAGCATTTTGATCGAAGCAGATGTGTTTCTTTGGAACTCCTGATTTGCTCGCTCTGTGTTCCTCCAGAGTTCCTCCAGACTCAGCGGTGCTTGGGCCGCTGTGGGAGGTTGGGCAAATGCAGGCGCCTGCTGCGGAAAGTGGGGGGTTTGGTAGTATTGTTGTTGATGTGGGTAATATCCCCCTTGATGATATTGTTGCGCAGCGAACTGTTGTGGCCTCTGAAATTGTTGCTGAGGACGCGGTCCAGCGGGGCCTTGAGCATGCCCTTTTGGGAACTGTTGAAATTGAGGGGCATTCCTGCCAGCCATAAAGTAGACCTCCGCTAGGCTCTGAGCCTCATCAGTCGAGCACTCAGCAACCTGCAGACCTTGTTGGTCTACACAGGCACTTTCCTCAATTTCCGCAGCCTCATGCAGTGCCTGTTTTCCTTTATTACGCAGGCCCTGCTTCATGAGCTTAGACAGCTCCTTGACTTGGATCGACAAGCTATCAATCCTTGCATCGTGTGAAACTAAAGCAGGAACCTGATATAGACCCCTCGATGGCTCGGGCCTGTTGGACTCTGGCCAACTTGACTGACTGGCCGCCATGTTTTCTATCAAAGCCCTCGGTTCTGAGGCACAGCGCCCCATTAGCGAGCTTCCTGCCGCTGCATCAAAGGACATCCTAAGTTCAAGAGTAATTCCTGAGTAGAAAATTTGTAGCTCCATGAAGTCCGGAATTTCATGATAAGGGCAGTTGCGGAGCAATTGTTTGTATCGGCTCCAGGCTTTGGGAAGGGTCTCTTCACTCGCCATCTTGAAAGTGAGTTTCCTCTGGCGAATGGTCTTTGAGACAGGATGGTATTTACTCACGAAGGCCTGCGCTGCTTCCTTAAATGTGCCAGGAATGGGATAAAGATTATCAAACTATTTCCTGGCCTCTCCTGATAAAGAGAAGGGAAACAAAATTAGTTTGGCAGCATCCTCCGTGATGCCGTGAGATTTGGAGGTGGCAGCGATCCTGTTGAAGTTCTGTAGATGCTCATAAGGGCTCTCGTTGAGCAGCCCATGGAATTGGCTCTGGCTTTCCAGGCTGACGAGCACTGGTACCTCATAATGGCCAGAGCCTCTGGGCGCAGAACTTGTAATTAATGTATGATCCAGAAGGGACTGGCAGTGAACGTCCATGGGGACTTCAGCAAGTGGGCGATCAGCAGCCCTGTGTCCCTCAGCCCTCTGGTTAGGCTCAGCAGTAGGTGCTGGGGGAGTGATGGTAGCGGGCATCGCAGCGGCCTTGGCAGCTTGAGCCGCTTGGGCAGCGATAAACGCCCCCTGAGCAGCCTGAGCTTTCTCCACCTGAACGAGGTGCGCTTACAGTCCCGTCATTCCCTGTTGAATGCTACCGAGGGCTCTCATGAGCTGTTCCTCGGTCTGTGAAAGTGCAGGGGGAATGATAGTGGGGACCACAGTGGGGACGTGGAGCGGCACCTCCTGCGAAGATGCAGATGTGGCAGAGTTTGAAGATGTCCCAGCGGCAGTCTGGTGAGCTGGGACTACAGTAGAAGGAGCGGTGGCATTTCCTTGATTCGCCATGAGTTGTTCTCGAACTTGCTCTCTGAACAGACGTCTCTGGTATCGAGCGGAAGGAGCAGGACTCATGGGACGCTGAAAATGCTTCGGACCCCTACATAATGACAGCCACACCAACATAAAAGTTAGTAAATTAATTAAACAAAAAAGTCACGATTACAACAAATTAAAAGTAAATTATGGCGCTTCAAAAGATTTCCAACAGATACTCTTCATGAGTTTAAAATCCCCGGCAAAGGCGCCAAATTATGATAACAAAAATCTGTTTGTTTGTAATTTGCACAAATTCACAGGGAATTTTATTCGAAAGTCAGTGGGTAGGATTTTATAGGGAAGCGATCAAGTATAGCAATTTTGTGGTTGTAGACCCTGAGTAGTTATCACAATTATTTATACTCTTTTTACTGGTAAGTTTCCAGGTCGAACACAAGGATTTTAAGTCATGAATTTCAAGGGTGAAAATCTTGAAGAAAGCGACGAGAATGCAAAAAAGGATCCGCTTGCAGGGGATCCGAAGTTTAACTACTGAAAGCGGTAAATAAAGCAGTAAAAGTGAGATGAGCGAAGGCGAGCGAAGCGAAGGCGGGAAGTGAAGTGCCAGTGGTAACCAGATGATCGGGACATGAGCGGAAGTGGGGACCAGATGAGCGGGACATGGGTGAATTGCGGTTACCGAGTGGATGGGACATGAGCGAGCGGCACATTGTATATATATATATAAGCGAAATAGAATGGAGGAGAGGTGTTGTATCTGATCTGTGCGTTACTAAATGGATAGATTTTCCTGGATGTAGTGAGCGAGTGATGCAGGTGTGTTATCGGAAGAATATATGTATATTACGAAAATGATTGGAGGAAGATATTTTAATTATATAAACTAAATTGTAAAGAACTCATAACACTGGAATCTTTGACCTTAGGGGATTTACAACAAGACTTCAATGACACCCAGAATCGAGACATTATAAGAAAGAAACCCTACTGTCACTGGGAATCTCTGTGACCTAATAAACCCCCACCTATGTCCCATTAATTTTCCCAATATCTGCCTCATTAGTGGCTTTACCCCCTGTGTTACTACTACTTAATCAAAATTGAATTCAGTACAACAGTTAAGCAGGTCGACAAGGCTCCCGCGTACTTAATTATATTGAACTACCTTGAGACCGCTTTTGGCGCATAACAAGGCTCAGATAATCAATTCTTCTCTCACTCTAAACCAGTGAAATGAAATTTCCTAAACTCAATTTATATAAGTGTGGAAAAGTGTGGAAGAATTTAGTTCGAAGAAATGGATGATATTCCTTTGTATACTACGAAAGCGTGAAATATTAGAACTACAAAGCTGTAAACGAAAGCAGTAATCTATTCTAAAAAATGGCAGTAAAGACTTGACCAAGGGAGTAGGGGCTTTCCTACTCCCTTGGCCATTCCTGTGGAGAACTCCCTTACAGGTTGGAGCTCTCCGAAACAGGAAGACGACGAATGCTAATAGTATGCAAGAATCACCAAAAATTATCTATATCATACATAAAGATATCTGGCCCTATTTATAGCAGGTGAAAAGGGGGCGGTTGCAAGCAGTTGCTGGGCGGTTCCAACCACTAGGCAGTTAGACGGTTGCTGGTAGTTATTCTGTTGAAGCAGTTGCTGGCCATAACTCCCAGGGTGCCCGCTTCGCTTGCGTAGAATTTCAAGGGCTCAGATCTTTCTCACTTGCTGGAGAGCTGGAGGGCATCAGCGCAGCTAGGCTCGCTTGTGCTAGCTGGAATTGGAATAGCTGTACCTCTGCAGTTGGAACACTTAGTTGAAATTTGGATATGATCTGCAGCGGTGGGTGTCTGGCTGTCGCTTGCAAGCGGGAGAGGCTGTCGCCTCGCGAGCGGTGGAGACTATCGCTTGCCTCTCATGCCTTGTCTTTTCAGAGGCTGTTATGGGCGCTTGCGAGCGGGGGCGGCTGTCGCTTGCGGCGTCTGCCTTAGTTTTTCTGATACCAGACTACCGCTTAAGAAGGGCAAAAACTGTTAATAATCTCAACAACGAATTCTGGATCATGCCAAGCGATATAGATCAATAATGTATGCCATTTACAAGTTATTTTGATGGTTTTTATACAGAAATTCGAGTAATACACATTTTTGTCAAGCTAAGAATATGCTCATATTTGGAGTCATCACAACACTTTTGAGTTTGGTAATAAAGAGAGGTCATAACTTCTAAGTGAGAATAATTTTGCTGCATTTTTTTCTATTGTCCTTGCATCTTCTCTTATTCATTCCATCAATTTTGTAAGAAATAATTATAGGTTATGTTTTCGATTCATGCAGGAAATCTAGAAACTTGCAAGCATTTCTTCTGGATAATATATAGTTTTATATACTTTCTCGGTATGCATTTGAAGCCACATGTGACTATCTCTTAACTCATGATGTTTTGTATATTTATTAATGCTGCAGTATCGATCATCCGCTTTAAGATAATGAAATTTTGTGAGTTGCATTTTGTTTTTGATGATATGCAGATGTTTTCTTTATATGTATGTAGGTTATACCATTAATATAGTAAAGGTTTTTTTCACGGCTGCTACCGTTCCGAAGGCTGCGCTAATTCACGAACGATATCTGAAGTGCAAACACTCTGTGAGTTTGTCCACGTCGAGCCAATCGACTGGACATTCAAGGATGTACGTAACCATATTTATAAATTTCTATTAGATTATAACTTAACCAACTCGCAAGTAAATTCTTATATAATTTTTCACTATGTTGGCAGCTCGTTCGTCACGCGTAACTGCCATGTATGTTCACTTTGACGCTGCATGGGGCAATGTAGCGTTGCATCTATGATGATAACTTTTGTTTGTGGATTGATACTGACTAAGTCCTTTACGTAGGTTGAACTTGCATATGTTGCTTCCTTTTGTGTGTTTGTTGCTATGCTTTGCCTTTGGATTGTATATTTTTGTTGTATTGCGAACTAGTTATGTTCCTAGACAGTGCGTACTTGGTGCTACTAATGGTTGTTTCGGTTCCGATACTATGTTTTTGTTATTACTAAAAAAATAAGGATACTCTTTTTGTTGCGAAATTGTATTCATTACAAATACCGGTACAAAAAATTATGAATGTCGTTTAAAATATTTTTCTGACAATCAGTTTATTGTAACAAAAATTATACCGTAACAAAAGCCATTACAAATGCATAAACATTTATTGTAACGACTCTTTTATTACGAGAAACATCTGCTACAAATAAATCAAAAAATAATTGTTAGCGTTACAAAAACTGTTGCAAAAAGATTTCTCACGCGCGTTGACTGTCCACTTTTTGTTACGGAAAATGTCGGTACATAGACTTTTTGTAACTCGAGTATATGCACCGGCCAAAATCCGGTACAAAATCGTTACAAATAGCTTTTTCTAACGAAAAATGGCCATTTGTAGCTGTTTTAAAGCCGCTACAAATGGCCATTTTTTTGGTAGTGTTAAATAAGACCAAAATTGATTAAAAAAAAAAAATCAATAACAATTGATAATTGTGATATACAATGAGATGAAAATAATTTTTACTCTATTTTTGTTATGTTTTGTGTTTTGTACTTGTTCAACCATAGACTCTATAATACACACATAAGTTATAGTTTCGGTATGCATTACACTCGGAAGCGTTGTACCTCTTTCGATGACTATTGCGAGCCCTCCATATTCAACACTTCGTCGTAATGGAATGTATTTTTCTATTTTTTTAATAAATTTAGAAATAATATTCCATCCAGGATTAAAAAATAGAAATAATATATTTCTATTTGTAGGTTTGTTAAATATTTGAATAATTCATTTATAATAAATAATTGGGAAAAAATCAATTTTGGTCCTAATATAATCAAAATTTATCAATTTTGGTCTGAATATAAAAAAACTCATCAATTTTGGTCCCAATATAACCAAAATTTATCAATTTTGGTCCCAATATAAAAAACTCATCAATTTTAGTCTCAATATAAATAATTTCAATCAATTTTGGTCCAATTATAAACAATTTTAATCAATTTTGGTCCCACCGTTAAAAAACTAACGGAAATTGCTGACGTGGACATGACGGAGGTGACGTGGCAGTTGACCTGGAAAGTACACGGCCATGTTGTTACATGGCCATGTATATTTCAGTGTATAATTATACATGGTCATGTTGTTACACGGCCATGTACAATTATACACGGCCATGTTGTTACAGGGCCATGTATATTTCAGTGTATAATTATACATGGTCATGTTGTTACACGGCCATGTACAATTATACACGGCCATGTTGTTACATTACCATGTATATTTCAGTGTATAATTATACATGACCATGTTGTTACACGGCCATGTATAATTCTACACGACCGTGTACCTTTCTGTTTCGGTCTAAAATTTTAATTTTTTTTTTTAAATTTAGAATAGTTGATATAGTTAAAATGGAAAAAAAAAATAAGTAATAATCATAACATAATTAAAATATATCAATTTTAGTTCAAATATAAGTATTTATCGAGTATGTTCTTTTGGAAGATTTTGTCTAAAATTCTACTATTTAGCAACAAAATTTCTCTTACAAACATCCAATTAATGTATTGAAATAATAAATTAATTTTTAATACTACTATAATATACAAAATTAAAAATTAGTTGTGTAATTGGATGTTTGTAAGAGAATTTTTTTTTATGAATAATAAAATTTTAGACAAAACCTATATTTTATAAATTTTTATATTTGAATTAAAATTGATAAATTTTAATTATATTGTAATTACTATTGATTTTGTCCATTTTAACTATATCAACTATTTTAAATTCAAAAAAATTTTTAAAAAAAATATAACAAAAAAATAAAATTTTAAACTAAAATAGAAATGTACATGGTCGTGTATAATTGTACATGACCGTATAACAACATGGTCATGTATAATTGGCCATGTAACAACATGGCCGTGTATAATTGTACATGGCCGTATACTTTCTAAGTCAACTGCCACGTCACCTCCGTCATGTCCACGTCAGCAATTTCCGTTAGTTTTTTAATGGTGGGACCAAAATTGATTAAATTGTTTATAATGGGACCAAAATTGATTGAAATTATATATATTGAGACTAAAATTGATGAGTTTTTTATATTGGGACCAAAATTGATAAATTTTGGTTAAAATGGGACCAAAATTGATGAGTTTTTTATATTGGGACCAAAATTAATTTTTTCCCTAAATAATTTTATCAATCCAGAATTTTATTGTTCTTAGTATAATAAATAATAATTAATTTACTACTACTTTTTTCCTATTTATCCATTTTTTTTATTAATTTTTTAATAGATTTTTTTTTTATAATACTCTCAATGTACTTTTTATGAGTCATCTTCATAGTACTATGACTATCACAATGAAGAATCGTAGAAGATGACTGAGGAACACTAAGATCAATGAGTAATCGACGAATTCATAGGAGTTCGGATGTGGAGTCAACAAGAACACGATACTCTGAATCAACACTCGATCAAGAAACTCAAGTGTATTTCTTGTTGCGCTAAGAGATGAGAGAATCACTCAGGAACAAGTAGAAACCAATGGTCGAACGCCGATCGGTAGGGTCGCCAACCCAATCAGCATCAGAGTAGCCGCTGAGTGTCAAAGATGAGTGAGATAAAAAAAAGTGTTTACCATGCATAAGAGTGTCTTTCACATAGCGAAGAATATGTAAGACAACAGAGTAATGTAAGGTCCTCGGAGCGGCCATGAACTGACTTACAATGTGAACTGCATGAGCGATATTAGGTTAAGTAACAATCAAGTAGACCAAACTCCCAACAAGCTGATGACATAGAGTAGGATCATCAAGATGAGAGTCATCATGGGGGTAAGTCGAACGTCATAGGCAAGCGGTGTGCAAGCTATTTGACAGTTTGTGAGGCCAGCTTGAGAAATAAGATCGGAGGCATACTTAGCCTCAGACAGATAAAAACCATCGGGAGAATCAGAGACCTCAAATCCCAAAAAGTAACGAAGATGGTCAAAGCTCTTCATCTTAAACTACTGACTAAGATATGCATGTAGAAGCATAACTATCCCTGAGGAAGAATGATGAAGAAATAAATCAGATCGCAATCGAATGTGGTAAAACCAAACTCCAAAAGTGCAGAGTTAAATGTGGCATACCAGGGCCGAGGGGCCTACTTCAACCCATATATAGTGCGGCGTAAATGACAAACCTTCGCAGAACCCGGGAAACCTGGAGGACTCCAGGAGTCATATAAATTTCTTCAGAAAGAGTGTCATGCAAGAATGCATTCTTGACATCTAACTTAAGAAGATTCATATAAAATGAAGGATTAATCAATTATTTATTTATTTATTTATTAAAAAAATATTTAAGATATTTTGCATTTTTTATTTGCATAAAAATTGTATAATTAAGGTATTTATTTAGAACAAAATATCAGTTTTGGATAAGAAGTTTCGTGCAAAATTTACATTAACATGAAGGGGTTTCACGCAATAAATAAAATATAGAATATTTTTGTACAATTTTACTAAAATACAAGGGGATGTTATACTTTTTTTTTATATATAATCATTTTAAGACGGTTCTATTTTATTTTTTTAATAATTAATTATATAATATATTATGTTTCTTCTTTAGGATTATTTGGTTATTGATTTGGTAAATTTTTTCAATCTTTTTAGTATATTGCAATTTAAGTTGGCGGTTTGCGTATTCAATCTTTTCCATTGCCTTGTGTGTTTTATTAAAACAAAATTGCTTAAATATTACAAAGGGTGGAGTTTTTGACATATAAAAATACTTAATAATAATTTACAAATTGTTTTTTCTTTTTAATTATTTCAAGGATGGTCAGACATTAAAAAAAATAAAAAATAAAAAATAAAAAACTTGTTTAATTATATAATATATATTATTTTTCTTTTTCTATCCAAATCTTAATTCGCTTTTATTCTTATATATGTCTATTAGAAAAGTTAAAATTAAAATTGAAAATGTATATATAAAAAATATAAATAAAAATAAAAAAACACTTTATCACCAAAATTTGGATAAAATTATCTTAATTAACTATGCAAAATCATGACAATTTTAAAAATAAAATTATCACCTGCTGCTGTTGCTGGTGCAGCTACTTCATCGGGGGTTAGAAGTGGAGGTGACAGTAGGTGGGGGTCAGACGGAGGCTTCCGCTCCTGCAGCAGAAGCAGCGCCCGATCCATCCGCTCCTGCACCGGATCCATCAGCTGATTCATCCCCTCCTGCACCCGATAAATCTGCTGATTTATCCACTCCTGCACCCGATCTATCTCCTCCAACAACTGACGCATTTCTATTGGTGCTGTTGCTGGTGCAGCTGCTGCATCGGGGGTTAGAGCTGGAGGTGACTGTTGGTGGTGCTGGTTGTATTGTTGGTTGTGCTGCTGCTCCTTGTTGTGCAGGTGTTTCTGCTGGTTGTGCTGCGAGAACAACGTATAAATCCAAACAATCATTTGACAAAAACGATAACCAATAATATAGATCGGCACGAGCCATATGCATCCAATCGCAATACAAAGTGAAACTTTGTACCGCCAGTGTCCAAGTATAGTTCGACTGAACAAACCAATATAAATAGACCAAATGGTGCCCAGTGCCAAGACATCTACCATCTCTAAAAAATAATGGCATCTCTCTAGCAATATGGTAGCGCAAAATAGCAGGCCATCACCAACAATAAATCTATGGGTGTGAGCTTATGTTTCTTCCAGGTCAGGAAGAATGAAAATATGCACACTACTAAGGCGTTGAACGTAAACACTCCGACGTTGTGTTTACGTACGCCCGCTACGATCGGATCGGGCGGAGGTAGACAAGTCCTCTGACTCATCTTCGTTGTCAGCTTCTTTGCTGCGAAAAGAATGCACATCAATAACATGCATATACAAAAATAATTAACAAACAGCCGTAATTGAAAATTCTAAA